TCAATACACATTTTTATTGTTGCAATTACTTTTAAAAACCTTATGCAATCTAATTCCGTTTAGATACAGAACTCGTTTCAAACGAGACTTTCTTTGTGAATACAGAAATTCTATTCAACATTTTCCACGAGCGAACGTCGAATGGTCAGCCGATGTGATTGAATTTTTAAATTTATTCTTTAGAAAAGTCATTGAAGGTGGCGACAGAACGGAAGACGGCTATTTATCAGAGCAAATCCTCGGCAGCTTACATTACAGGGGTGTGCGTGGTGATTTCCTGCAGGGAAAAACTCGCGTATAAATAATATTAGAGTGTAGACGTAGCTCGTGAGCAGCGCGGCGCATTTCCATAATTCTGCTCGTTACCGGCGCGCCGAGGCCGCAGCCGCCAGCTTGTGATCTTATCTGTTCTTTTCGTTGGATACGTAAATAAAATTAATTAAACGCCTTTCAGTAGAATTGGCGTAGTTTCTTTCCAATTGTATATCCAATCTAATTAGAAGTCTGCTCTCAGTAATTAACCTTCGAACTAAGCACCCATGTGTAATAAACAGTTATCTGATTTCGCAAATTGAAATATATTTTGTTAGTTGTAAATTGGATCATTTACAATAACGTTATTCAGTAATATTGAGTCCTGAATAACGATGACAGCCGAGAATCCTGTGACTGTTACACGCGAACTACTCGGATATGGGGCTGAGGCGGGCTGTGGCACCACAATCCATACATAATTAATAGCGGGCAGGACAACTGGACCGGCGACCGTGCTCGGACGATTAGCATAGCTGGCCGGTGTGCGCCCTTGCACAATGCACTCATGTTCGAGACGCGCGAAATATGCACAACTGGTTACTAAGTATTTGTTGCATAGAAGACAAACTGCATTGTGCAGAATCCGACATCTCCTTGTTGGTCTAACTTCTGCCACCACATCTGTCGAAGTCACATTTCCTGAATACTCGACATGTGCTCAACATGATATTAAATACTTTATTCTTTTATGTCGTCTCTTTAAATCCGATGCTATAGTATAATGTAGAGCTTAATGCATTTTATTCACTCATTCTCTCATTACTCTCAGGTTAGACGCAGTGATGTCGGTTTCATTAAAACGCTTCCCCTGCATGTCGTACGTTGAATGAGACAAAAGTGTCGAGCAAGTTTAATCTAAAAGAGCGTGCAGAATATTAAAACTATCTCAGTCGTGTTGTCACCCCTAATCGCCGCTTGCATGCATTCACCGACACGCAACGTATACCATGTTACTACCTATTTCTGTGAAACCTATGAAATTACATTTGTATTCAAATATACGATGATGATTCAGTGACGATGATAGCATTTCTCCAAGCCGTTAAAGGGTTAAATTTAGTTCGGGGCAGTTGTCTATGTGATTTCAGTTAGAGGGAGCCATCAAGGCGGTGCAACTATAAAGTTTTTAATTAAACGCGCCAGCGGTGGGGGCTTAACGACCGCATTTTTCTAGATTCCCTTCGCGCGTTCTACTCTCGGGAAATCTCTTGGCACTGCACGAATAATTGCACAAATTAATAATACCAAATCGGGAGACGAGGCGACGGCTGCGAAGCGATTCTTTTCATCTGCGAAAGTGGATTACATTAGCATACATAGTGAACGATTTTAAAAGTTTCAAGTGAGTTTAATGGTGACGGGAATTAGTCGTCATAAAGTGTCTTTTGAGCAGAGAAAGGTAGTAGTTTTTGTGGCGCGTCGCCATTTGTCTGGAGAACTGGAAGTTGGTAGCACTTGGGAGTTTTAATTGATTTACGGCAGGTGGAAGTGGGCGTGTTCGGGCTGTGAGACGAGGCGGCGCGGGCACGAGCGCGACCTGGTCTCAGAGGAGCTCACTACCCGGCTTGCTTTTAAACTTGTATTTATCGGCGCGCACAGGCCGGGCTCGTCCGCAATCAACCTCTTCTGTTTACTAAGCCGCTGGGCAAACGGACTGACTCCATCCGCTCCTGGCTTGTTATAACATATTTCTCACATTGATATAAAGCAGTGAGCCAGTGTTTATTGTTTCGTCAAGTTGCACCTCGTATTAACTGGCATACTATAACCATAACGTTCAGAATATAGCCGCGGTAGATGGCGTGCTAATGGAAAAACTTGTCTACTTTGAACAGATACCATTAAAGAAGTTTCCATTAAGTATTCGATCATAAAACGAGCTTCATCATATAAAGGCATGCTAAGAAGCTAGCAGGAGTAGCACGCGTATCAATGCAAAAGCTAATAAAAATAAAAGCGTATTTGCCGGAGCAATGTTCGACGCTTGTGCAGGAACTTTTTAACTTGCAAGTTAAAAGTGCAGCTCGTCAAATATTAATGTCATGTCGAGAAGCGGGTGAGCTCGTGATATTTTTCCCATTTTGACATTTTGCGACGACACCGCTAAGCTTCGAGGCGTGTAGGACCAAAAAAAGTGAGACAGGTGTTACTCGCATTTAAATTGGAAACTAGTTGAACGTGGTGATCTTCTAATCCAGGTAGTACAGTTATGTATGTGGTGACATTTATATATGGCCCTATGTAATCGTGATCGATACTAATTAATGACGGATGGATATTGCAATGGATATTCGCTCTGGGTAATTAATGCTGTGAATAATTATAGCAATTTACTACATTTCATAGTAGTTGTCTAATGTTAGTACAATCAGCGAAGATTGTAGTCGGATATTGATAATTTCCATCTATCAATATCATAATGAGGCACGGCAATATTTATACGTTCATACGTAAGTACTGCAAATCACTTTACTGACGGCATTTCACTTACGGACAAGTCAACAGTTTATTTTGAAAGTACACAATACTTTTCTTTCATTATTTACAGAAAAAATCCAACAAAACCCCAAATCCCAAATGAAACGTGAAACGAGATCTGAAATTACGAAGCCGAAAATATAATATTTAAGTATTAAAGTAACGTGCGGGGTTCGCATATTAATGAGCCATGATACAATGAACTGAAATGTACGGTCTGTGACCACCCCTAGCATGAATCAGCCGAGCCAAATGTTATTGCTCCGTTCCGGCTGCGGCAGTAATGCTACTATCCTAGGGCTGTCAAAAACGGTGAAAGTTCACACTTAAATTTTAACAATCCCTCAGCTTCCGGTGATACAAAATCCCTCACTTTGACGTGCCAAAGAGTTTTTCTTCAACTAAGAAGTTCTCAAAGAAATAATTTGTATTGTTTGAAACATTTTAAAGCTGTCGGAATTTTTCTTGTTAGCAACAACACGGATAGGGTTGCCCGTCCCTACTCAGAGTCTCAGATCCTGTAATTGTGAAAGTCTCAGCGCAGGCCGATATGTATCGCTACCCTTTCAAATGGACCATTTGGACTGTATAAGTGTGCACCCTTTCACCACCACTATTACAAAAGACTATAAAAGAAATATATTCCTTGTTTGTTTGTTGTACGCCATGTAAACGTTTCAACACAAAGAGATTACTTTTCTTAGTATTAGGTACTTTTTAGATTGATCGATACATGTAAATAGTGATACATTATCAGTTAATTATGATAACGATTTTCACAGGTACACTAGTGGTCGCCCTGGGGTACGTTATTGTAATAACAAATGTCAGAAGTTATAATAAGTTTGCGTTCGACTCATTTCCATTCGATTCCCACGTTGATTACGCGCCGTATCTCTGTACAGCGACATACATCACTGGCAAAATAACACGTGTAACGTGTATTTACATCACATGAAATTGTATATTTTTATGTGAGAATTTTGTAAATTCCTCTTTTCCGAGGATACAGAAAGGAGATATGTGCTCTGGTTGGAATTATATCATTATGAAATTTAAAATTAGATGCTATTTTAAATAGACTCGTCGACGTTTACATAGCGAAGCAGAAGACCGCAGTTTGTTCTCACTAAGTTCATCCATCTAACACTTTAGGGAATAAAAAATTCGAAATCGAAATTTAAAAGAAAAAAATAGAACTTTTTATTAAAATATTTTATAAGAAAACATTTCACATTACCAAATAGAAGTAATAAATCACATTAACGTAGATTAAGCAATGACACTACAATTCCCACGCGGACGCCATTATAATGTCTAAGTAAACATCTAGGTGAGTGATTACTAATTACTTATTTTAAAGCAATAATATTTCACCGAATCAATACTTTCCGTTTCATACATCGTATTTAAAGGAAACTAGCAGTATGTTACTTATTCAACGAGGTTATTTTACTAAACTTTGGCCCTGGACATTCACAATTATTAAGACCTAAATTAGCTAATTCGGTTCGGTGTTCTCCGGGCTTTAGCCACACTAATGAAGATATCGATTTTTATAAATATAGACAAAATTTTTGGCCCACTTCTTTTTCAGACAAACATTTTCAATTTTAATATATTTCTACTAGGCTTAATAATAAATTCACATTTGTGCGTATTTTAATTAACCCTTTGGGTACCGTCATTATAGACACAATTAAAGAACAATAGGTCGCGGTCATCGGTGTCCTCGCGGTGTTTGACAGTTTAAATACCGATTTTTCAACTGACACTTGGAGGATGTAAAAATATCAAACTACATTTTACAAAATGGCGCTGATATTTAAACGTTAATAACTTATTTCTCACGCTCCACTTCCGATAAGGTTATGGTCGCAACCGACTCTAATCGACTTCAGCTTTCAGATCAATGTAACTACGTCTTTTAATATGAGCTTGAAGTTAATTAATATTTTTAAATTATTTTATTCTGTATACTGAAGAGAAGCTAGATGTCATTATGTGTGGAGCTTAACGATTTTTTAAGAGGTTTTATTTTACCTTGAATATCTTCGAGTGCGCCATATGTATAAAATTTAAATGCAATTCTACAGTCATAGAAGCTTAAATGCAGTCTGAATCCGTACTATACAAAACCGAATAATACGTAGCTGATGAAACAATTTAGTGTTATCAAATAAAAGACAATTACAAATTGAACTTACCTCTTAATATCTGATAAAGGAAGACTTTGATGTGGTCGGCGGACAGGTGTTGCGGTGACACGATGATCTTGTGCAGGTCGCTCTGTAGCAGTTCTGTGATCACGTAACTGAACGGAGACGGTCAAGGAAACTTTTGTTTTCAAACATACATATAATTAAAAAAGATACAGGATTTAGTACACATTTGCTTTGGGTCTCACGTTAACCAATTCACTCTGAAACGTTGTATGGAAGCCCTAACTACTTATGCAAACGCATGCACACTGAATTCTGTTCTGATATTCATGTGGGAGCTGCAAGTGACACAAGGCATTATTATTCCTATCAGCACCGCAAAGGGTGGCTTCAGAACCTCCCCGAGTGTCGCAGGACCGGGTTCTACAATGTGTCCGGTCCACAAGGCCGAAGCCCAGCCGTCTCACCCGTTATCTCGCTTATCTACAGCACGCCCCTCGTGACCATTATCAAAATTACAGGCCAGTACGCCTCGCACACTTGTTGCGGCTAAACTACATTACAACTTCAACGTCACGGGTGGAATTTCAACGAATTGTAATTTAGGAACGAACCCACTGAGCATTGAAGCTAAACTTGATAACGTTAGTCATATAACACATACATTTAAAGTCCGAATTATGGCATTAATCTTATTCCCAAATGTGACTGAAAGTTTAATTTAATCCAATTAGTAAATTGCTGCATGGGACTGGAGGTAGTAAAAAGTGTAATACAAATACTTTGAGAGCATTATCAGTACGTAGCAGCGACTATAAAATATGTGTAAGTGGCAGTTATTTAATCCGTAGCGATGAATATTGTGGTCGTGAAGCACGAAGCGTCTTGAGTAACGGCCATAAAGCCTACATTCGACCTTAGCGCTGACGCATTAGCACGGCCAATGTACAAACTATCGTGGATGGTAACTTATTATGTAAGGACGGAGACGACCGTGGCATTCTACACGATACTACTGAGAATAGTAATTTGAAGCTGATATTCTACAAGAAAAAGATGTAAGATTATCTTGGGAACATCTTGATGGATTGGGATACTTTTCCACGAATTGTACGAGGTGTAATCAGTTGGGGGCAGAAAAATATTCGTATCACTTCCTATTAAGTCATATTTTACAATTTCATTTTTTCTGATATTATTGTTTTTCAACTCTAGCTTATTGGCTTTAGATTTCACAATCCCACGATAAAGACAGGTTCTTGCAATCTCCTGTGCGGTAAGCCACATCCGTATTTGAATCCACGGCTATTAGGGAAGCCTGTGATGATGCTAGACATTCGTTACTTTATAAAACCTTTCTGTCGAAAACCATTTATGTCTGTCATACAAAGGAATTAACTCATCTTGAAATGTATTTATCGTGGCGTTGTGTTCATTGTCAGCTGACGGTAATCTCTTGTCACTTCGTTAAGTGTTATTGTTGATAGTCTTTCTATTCACCTCTACTGTTCGATTTGACGATCTCTTTTGTGATCAGTGAATTGAGAAAATTACGTTTTTAACTATTATTGATTTATAATGTATCCATCAGACAGTTATAACTACACCATATAATATAATGAATCAATCAATTGTGTTTTACTATCGTTCATTTTGGGAATAGTTTTGTTCAAGTTTTAATTCAAACCTTTTTATGGTAAAGTTAACGTAGGTTTTAAGGAATCTAACCGTGGAATCATTTATTTTCAATGGATTTTAATAATGTGTCCGTATGATTTAGGAATATCTGAGGCCAGTATAAAAATAACATAGGTTCAGTTTAAAAGTCGTTCACATTACAAAGGACATTTGATAAGATAGAAGGCTATCAATTCATAAATATAGTCACGATGAACTCCTTGATAATGCGTATCTGATTTACCCTCCGTGGCAATGACTTTAATGGTTTTGTTATGACTCACATGCATGGCATGATATCCAAGCCTGTTTTATTGTAAATAAAAAAGCAGGAGAACCCGTACACACGTATTCCTATCGATTTAGTAGTAAACCACTTTATGTTGTACATAATAAATTAGTACCAAAATTTTTTTGAATATTGACGACGACGTGCTTATGTATATTGAGAAATAAGGCCCGAGGGATTAGTGATTCCTTTGAAAAGATAGCAAGCTATTTAATTATGCATAAATGGTTTGTGAACGCTGTTCAAATGCAAAACTTAAGTTCATCTGTCCATGTATAGGCTGAACAAGGAGTATTATTAACACGAAGCGATCAGTAATCAGTGTGTATCTATTATGGCGTTATCTCCCCCGGGACCGGTCGTGGTAACGGTCAATGAGGGACTCCTATATAAAGCGGACATCTACGTAATCGTTTATTCCACGAACAATACACTCGGAACTAACAAAGAACATTGAAAACATGTTTCTCCATAAAAACTTTCGCCGTATTTCATCACGATTCCAAAGTTTTAACACAATGTGTTTCGTTTACATTATTTACATCACAATGCGAACACAAATTATGGTACCTGATGAATGAATTAATTTGTAAGTTGAACCCTTTTACATCTAGTTCAAACTCGTTTTAATTGAAGCGAAATTAAAAACTTTTTTTATGAATAACTTTTTGATTTTTTCCCTCGTTGAACACTGCTCACATATTCATTAACACAATAATAGATGTAACGTTGTATTTTAGCTTGCAGAGTTCAGGTTGGAAATCTTTTTAATATAGCGAGCGAGGTCGTAGTAGTAGCAATATTCTATTCCTTTATGACTAGGGGATCTAATGGCATTCTCAATGAGGTGTGAATATACGACAAGTACCTACTTAGGTCCTGGGAAGATTACCGGAATATTGTAGTGCTTAACTAGATAAATGCGGTAATTCTCTGAGGAAAATCTAGGCAATGGCTATATTGTCTCCGGGTTGATCTCTTTGTTTTATAACATCCCTATACCCTAAAATGGTAGGGTCTGGTCTTAGATTTATCTATATCATATGAAGTTACATAGCTATACTCATTTTCAGCAACTACATATGTAATCATACACTATGAAATTACACATGAAATTATCTTATTACTATGACCACAAAATAGATAACCAAATAGCATTATGAAATTCTAATCCTAATCTAGACTTGTGGACCACAAAGACAGGCCTGTTCAATAAAACAAAATATTCTAATAGGAGACTCAAACCGTATCTCACGTACCCTCCCCTATGATTATCGCTAACTAAGAGCAAAATGACATTGGTACGTGAATATAAGGCAAGGGCCACGATCAAAGAAATAACCAAAAATATTTGAATGCGGGTCGTCCCGGTCACGTACCGGACTGCGGTCGCTTGCCTAATCTGTATCTATTCGAGACCTCACCGAATCCTGCCCTATCTATAGTGCAGATTTCCAGAACCAGTACACATTATTTTCATTGCTTGTTTGAAATACGAGCTTGTTTTAGTGCTAGCTTTAACGCAGTTTCTTGTTAAGGATTAGAAACGGCACAATAATATTGAAATATGGTACATTATGTTGCTGGCGCCTGGAAACAGTCTGATTTTGAATATGGTAAAACTAAACTAAAACGCACGAAAACATAGTTTCAAAAATTATAATCTGTTTTTTTTTTAAATCTGAAGTTAATTAACTATGTATTTCCAACTTTCAAACTTGCGCTACGAAACTCTAAATAATATATCGTATTGTTGTTTTGCTTCTACCAAAAAATAAATCTATATATATAAAATTCAAAGGTGATTGACTGACTGACTGACTGACATAGTGATCTATCAACGCACAGCCCAAACCGCTGGACAGATTGGGCTAAAATTTGGAATACAGATAGATGTTATGACGTAAGCATTCGCTAAGAAAGGATTTTGATAATTTCCACCCCCAAGGGGGTAAAAAAGGGGATGAAAGTTTGTATGAAACTTTGTCAGTTTTTAACTGATCGGGTTGAAATTTGGCATGCAGATAGATGTTATGACGTTAGCATCCACTGTGAAAGGATTTTGATAATTTCCACCCCCAAAGGGGTAAAAAAGGGGATGAAAGTTTGTATGAAACTTTGTCAGTTTTTAACTGATCGGGTTGAAATTTGGCATGGAGATAGATGTTATAACGTAAGCATCCACTGTGAAAGGATTTTGATAATTTCCACCCCCAAGGGGGTAATATAGGGGATGAAAGTTTGTATGAGACTTTGTCAGTTTTAAACCGATCGGGTTGAAATTTAGCATGCAGATAGATGTTATGACTTAAGCATCCGCTTTGAAAGGATTTTGATAATTTCCACCCCCAAGGGGGTAAAATAGGGGATGAAAGTTTGAATGAGACATTGTCAGTTTTAAACCGATCGGGTTGAAATTTGGCATGCAGATAGATGTTATGACGTAGGCATCCACTGTGAATGGATTTTGATAATTTCCACTCCCAAGGGGGTAAAATAGGGGATGAAAGTTTGTATGAGACTTTCTCAGTTTTAAACCGATCGGGTTGAAATTTGGCATGCAGATAGATGTTATGACGTAAGCATCCGCTTTGAAAGGATTTTGATAATTTCCACCCCCAAGGGGGTAAAATAGGGGATGAAAGTTTGTATGAGACATCGTCAGTTTTAAACCGATCGGGTTGAAATTTGGCATGCAGATAGATGTTATGACGTAGGCATCCGCTGTGAATGGATTTTGATAATTTCCGCCCCCAAGGGGGTAAAATAGGGGATGAAAGTTTGTGTGAGACTTTGTCAGTTTTAAACCGATCGGGTTGAAATTTGGTATGCAGATAGATGTTATGACGTAGGCATCCGCTGTGAAAGGATTTTGATAAATTCCACCCCTAAGGGGATAAAATAGGGAATGAGAGTTTGTATAAATCTTCTTAGCCATTGAATTTAGAATCATTGAATCTTTTTGAATTACATTCGGTAAAACGATTGGGACCTGGGTAACGTATGATAGTTTTTTCACAGATGCCCCAGGACTCTCTAACTCTTAACCACTGAACTTATTCTAGAGAGATTCGGTACAACAATAGTCGATAGAATAGTTTTTATTACTCAAACCTTACGTGATCGGGCACTGTACTGGTAAGATCCCTGCGGGATTATTTATTTATTGAAACTACGATAAATCAT